CAAATACAAAAATTAGCTGGGTGTGGTGGCATGCACCATGCACTTTGGGAGGCCAAGGCATGTGGATCACCTGAGGTCAGGAGTCCAAGATCAGCCTGGCCAACATGTCGAAACCCCATCTCTACTAAAAATACAAAACTTAGCCAGGCCTGGTGGCATGTGCCTGTAGTCCCAGCTACTCAGGAGGCTGAGGCAGGAGAATCACTTGAACTCAGGAGGTGGAGGCTGCAGTGACCTGAGATTGCGCCACCGCACTCCAGCCCGGTGACAAAGCAAGACACTGTCTCTCAAAAATATATATATATATATTTATAACTAGGTAAGTTTGAAATTCCAAAACAAAGGCTGGGTGGGTGTGGTGGCTCACATTTGTAATATCAGCACTTTGGGAGGCCAGGCGGGTGGATTGCTTGAGCTCAGGAGTTCGAGACCAGATTGGGCAACATGGTGAAACCCTATTTCCACTACAAACATTAGCCAGGCGTGGTGGCATGCACCTGTAGTCCTGGCTGCTGGGGGTGAAGAGGGCTGAGGTGGGAAAACGGCTTGAGCCTGGGAGGTCCAGGCTACGGTGAGCCGAGATGGCCCCAAGGTACTGCAGCCTGGTTGAAAGTAAGACACTGTCTCAAAAAAACTTTTTTTTTTTCAAAAACAAAAGGTTAAAAACTATAATAAATAAAATGAAAAATTCCATTCAAGGGTTACAAGTCAAGGAAATATCCCAGAAAGTTTAAAAAAGAGAAAAACTAAATATTATAGAATCTATTAGGTATAATACCCCATTGACAGAAATCGCAAAGCAGGCGAACAGAAAACAGAAGAAAAAGAGAGAAATTGTTCAAGAAACTAATGCAAGAAAGTCACCAAGACCAGGGCCCAGGAAGTGGCCAGGACAAGGAATGCAAAGGCGTCACCAGGGACAGTAAGTCACTTCAGATGAGCAAGAAAACGCCGGAAAGCTCTCAGGGAAACATGAAGCAGCCTGGACTCTGGCTCAGGAATCCGGAGACATTCGTTTCTCAGCAGCAGCAGTGCCGGCAAGAGACGGGGGGCTAAGCCTTCAAAATCCAAGGCCAGCTCTCAACTCATAATTCCATCCCTCACCAAACTGCCAGTTCCAGGGGGGTGAGCTCAAGGTACCTGCAGATATGCAAACAACACTCACTTAGGGGCTCACCCAAAGGATGCCTTCTTCTAAGGACTAGGGAGAATGGGGCCTGTCGAGGTGCTGGGCGCAGTTAACCTTCAGGAGAGCCCCAGGTGTTTTTGTGGGTCGGGACCAAGCACGGGGGACTCCCTGGGATGATTTCCTCCCACAGACCAAGCAGACACATGGGTTAGGCCAACCACTGTCCTTCCCTGGTCATGACATGACCCGAGCACGTGATGTTGGATTAGATGAGGAAAAAATGCTCTCCCCCTGCAGGGTCACCTCCTGGGTCTGTCTGCTGTCACCGCACCCCCTACCCCAGACCTTCCTGTGGCTCCCCACAGCCCCAGAAGAAGCGTGACTGCCCTGGTGTGGGACTGGACACCCCCTGCCTGGCACTGCCCTCTTACTTTCCAGGAGCAAGTCCAGCCCCAAACAACCTGGCCCCTTGGGGCACAACTCTAGGGAGGCCCCTGCCCGACCTGGCCCAGCCCTGGGAGAGCTGGAGAAGCCTCTGTCCCAGCAGGCACCTGTGAGGCTGAGTGCCACCCCTCCAGCCCTGGAGCCACCTTTTCCTTCTGTGTGGCCTCCAACCAGCCTCTCCACCCCTCCCTTTCCTTTTCTGGGAAATGGCAGTTAGCAGGGGCAATCCACTGGGGGGGTCAGAGCGCCGGAAAAATGCCCCACACCCAGGGCCAGGGTCCTCGTGCTGGGGGCCCTCTGTGGGCACCTTCTGTCCCTGGTTGCAGGAGGGACCCCAGACATCTGGGGTGAGTTCCAGTGGAGGACCAGACCACCCCATCACCCACTGCCCTGGGTGACCCCATCCCACCTTCCCGCGTCAGCCTTGGCGGAGGGCAGCCCTGCTTCCGTCACTGTTGAAGGTGCTGTGGTGACTCAGCGGCTGGCTTTGCCCAGTGACAGGAGGGGCGGGGGTCCCTCCTGGCGCTCGCGGTGAGTCGGGGCTCCCGCAAGCCTGCAGGTGCAGCTTCGGAGCGATAGCAGGACCCACCTGGTGGCCCACGTGGGAACAACACCGGCTGGCTATTCCCAGCCCTCCCTTGGGGCCACGCCAGGGGCGCCACCTCCCGGCCCCAGGGGTGCTTCCCCACCGCCAGCCAGGAGATGAAACCCAGGAGCACCCTGGGGCCAGGAAAGGCCGAGGGGGAGGGGGCGCAGCAGCTCAGGGTGGCAGATCCGGTGCTGCGAGGCGTGCGAGACTTGCAGCCAGGCTGGACCGCCATCCTGCACCAGGCGAGGGCTGTAGCCCAGGCTCACCTTGCCCGAAGGCAGACCCGCTTTCCAAGTCCCGGCTTCCCAGGCCAGGGCTGGACCGCCATCCTGCACCAGGCAAGGGCTGCAGCCCGGGCTCACCTTGCCTGAAGGCAGACCCGCTTCCCAGGCCAGGGCTGGCGGGGCGTGATGCAGTGCTGTCCCCCAGCCAGCCCACCCTACTGTGCCCACCCCCTCGGTGCGCTGGGGAAGGAGGGCTTGGTCAACGCTCGGGGGTGGACCAAGTCTGGGGTGGACCCTGGCATCTTCCATTCTGCGCATACCAGAAGCAGCTGTTGGGATACAGCGCCCAGAGCGGTGGCCTCTCGCCCTCATCCTGCCCTGAGCCTTCTCTGTCTTCCGCGTGGCGGGGCCCTAACCTAGTCGCTCTGCAGATGGGCAAACTGCAGGCCAGAGCAGGAGGTGCTGGATGGATTAAACAGGCTTCCCCCACCCTGGTCTCCTGCACACTCTGGACAAGGCAGCCGCTCCCTGCCCTGCCTGCCAAGGAGAGCTGGAGGAGCCCACCAGCTGGGGGGCAGAGAGAGTCAGTGAAGAAAGCCAGAAAGACTCCCCCCAGCCCGGTCTGGCGTCATAGCTCCTTCCACACTTTGGAGATAGGAAGCAGTTCGGAATCTGCCTGGCTTCATCTCTCCCCCTCCCTCCTCCAGGCCGGGAACTCCTTCCTCTGCAGTCCACCCCTACTTGGGCTTCCTGCACACGCAGCTGCTGGGGGTACGGGAGCTATGCCAGGTAGACGCGCCAGCTTCGCCATGGAGAACAAGGATGCTGTGCCCCAAGAACCAGTGCTCTAAGGCAGAGATGGTGACTCAAGCTAATAGTCAATGGGAACTCATGGGAGGTCGTGTGTGGCATGGGGGCCACCAGTGGGAAGAGCTTTGGGAACAGAGGAACAGCCAGGGTGTGGTCAGGGTGGGGAAGGGGTGGAAGACCTCCAGCACTGCAGGAAGGGCTTGGATTCTATCCCGGAGCAGCGGGGATTTGAACCCTGGGAAGTGATTGCGGAGGCCAAGGCCAAGGCCCTGGGAATGAAAAGGGTCAGAGAACAGGTGCTGCCAGTGTGCAGGCAGGGCCACAGGGTGCAGGCAGGGCCACAGGGGGCAGGCAGGGCCACAGGGGGCAGGCTGTGGCCTGGGAGGGTGGTATCTGGCCTTAGCCCCGTGCTGGGGGTGGGGGCCCCTGGGTTTCATCCTGGTTTCTGGCTCCTCCCCTGCAGTCTGTGACCTCAGCTAGGAACCACTCTGAGGGGAAACTCGCTTCAGGCAGTGCTACCTCTGGGGAGGAAGGGGTGGGGCCCACAACCACCAGGTGGAGACCAGACACTCCCCACTCCGTGTGGCTCTGGAGGGCCAGTGGGGACCAAGGCCTGGGGAAAAAAGCCTTCTTCTCTAGGCCCAGCAGAGGGTCACAGCTGGGCCTGGGGCTATGCCCTTGGAAAGAGTGAGGATTGAGTGCCTGGGTCCCAGACCTGACACATGACACACAGAGGTGCTGGGCATGTCTTACTCATCACTGAAAACTGAACCCTTGGATGTCAGGCAAGAGGCCCGGGGGGTTTGCTGGGCCACCTGGTGGCCTCCTCTCCCCAGACCTCTCGTCCACACAGGAGGGCAAGCAGCCTCAGAGCCCTTGATGGTCCACACACCTGACAAGAAATGGGGTACAGAGAGGTCACATGGCAGGCACAAGGGCTGAGCCGGGCCCAGAACCCAAGTGTCCGACTCCCAGCTCAGGGCTCTTCCTGGGCCTCCTTGGCTCCTGCTGCACAGCTGGGATGGGGAGCCTCAGGTAAACTGCAAGGGGTTCCTGTCTTCAGAAGGCCTGGAGCAGCAGGAGCGGGGCGGGCCGGGCGTGCAGCTGAGGGACTCTTGGCCTTAGTGTCTCTGTGGACCCCAGCCCCTAACCGCCCCTCCAGAACCTTCTGATCTCCTAGGACGTGACCTTGCCTCTGTCTCACTGCCCTGACCCAGGAGACTGACTCAGCTTCCCTCCTGCAAAATGGCACTGTCTGGGACTGTCCTCCGGTGGTGAGAATTAGATGACATATGCAGAGACCTGGTCTGGGACATCCTAGCACCAGAGAGCAGCACCTGGCCACTCACAGCCACCTGCCCAGTGATTCTGCAGAGCAGGGGCGGCAGTATGGCCAGCTGAATCTCCTGGGCTTCAGTCTGTGCGGTGGGGCAGGAGAACCAAGCCCCAAGCTGGGCACCAGCCAGGAGACAGAAGTGTAGGACCCTGGCCTCGTCCCTTCAGCCAAAACTCAGAGGTAGCTGGGCCGAGCTACAGGAAACCAGCCTCGCCCACCGGGACTGCCTGTAGGACCACTGTTCGTGAAGAGACGGAGCCCGCCCAGGCCCGGGAAAGAGCTTCAGGAAACAGGACCATCACTCTGCACTTGACCTGTCGGAAGGGGTGCGGGAGAACAGGGAAGTGGGCTGACAGTAGGTAACCTTTGGTTTCCTGGGATTTCTTTAAATTAACTTTCTATTACAGGATAACTTTAGAACTACAGAAAAGGAAGGTTCCCCAATGCTCTACTCCCAGCGCCCCCAACGCTGGCATCATGGGACAACTGCCAAAACTCAGGAATGAACTTTGGTATTTACAGCCAAACTCGAGGCTGTGGGGTTTGCTAGTTTTCCTTCTTCTGTTCAGGGTCCGTCGTTTTATTTACTGGGAAAAGATAAGACATTCCAGGCTGGGCGCAGTGGCTCATGCCTGTAATCCCAGCACTTTGGAAGGCCTAGATGGGCGGATCACCTGAGGTCAGGGGTTCCAGACTGCTGACAAATGCCTGTCTCTACCAAAAATGCAAAAATTAGCCAGGTGTGGTGGTGCGTCCATGTGGTCTCAGCTACTTGGGAGGCGGAGACAGAGGTTGCAGTGAGATGACACCACTGCACTCCAGCCTGGGCGACAGAGGGAGGGAAAGAAGGAAGAAAAGAAGGAAAGAAAGAAAAGACATTCCAGGCAGGTGGAGTGACAGAGACAAAGGCCACGGGTGGGGACCCATGCCTAAGCCCGTGTCTGACTAGTAGCAGCTCTCGGCCAGGTGGGAGGCGGTGGGGGCTGGGGGGGAAATGTCAACAGTGTGGAGATGACCCACAGTCCGTGGGCTGACCCGGCGTAGGGGGAAGTACAGGGCAAGGACCCAGAGGTGGGGCAGTGCCAGGCCCTGGGGGGTGCAGGCCCTGGGTTAAGTCTCAGCTCTGCCACACCTCCCAGCTCAAGCCACCTCCCTGGGCCGCGGTTCTCATATCCACCAAATGTGCCGAAACTGAAACAAGACATAACAAGGTCATAATAAAAAACCCCTTTTCACATTGCTGATGGTATATATAAAAAAAAGCCACCAAAGCCAGCACTGACTAGGTAAGAGAAATCACGTCGCTTCTCCGAGCCCCGGGTCTGCGTTCCTGAAACGTGAAGGACACACCCACCTCTGGCGGAAGCGCCGCCGCGGACTCAGCTCCCCCCAGCTCCCCCCAGCCCCGTCCATGCAGTCCCCTCTCGGCTCCGTTCCAGAAGGGCCACCGATTTCCCAGAGCATAACCCAGGACGGCCCCGGAGCGACCTTGGGCGACGCGCAGCTGCAAAGCAGAAAATCACAGCGCGCGCTCCAGCCCCGTGTCCCGCGGGCTCCACGCCTCGCCCGGCCCGCTCCGGCTGCCCGCGCACTTCCCAGGGCCAAGCCCGGCGTCCCCCGCCGCCCTCGGCTCCGGACAGGCTCCGAGGCCCCCACGCCCCGCTCCCGCCCTGCCCCCTGGGAGGCGCCGGGCCGCTCCCCGCGCCCCGGGGCTGCTCCGCCGCCGCCGCGTTGTCCCGCGCGCCAATCGGCGGCCTCCTTGACTAAATAAGGCCAGCAGCGCCGGGCCGGCGCCCCCCGTCCGTTACTTCCGCCCCCCGCCCGCCGTGACTCAGGCCCCGCGGCGGGCGGGGACGGCGCTGCCCAGGGCCGGGCTTCCCGGCGGGGCGGGCGGGGCTCCGGCAGCGCCGAAATCGCCAAATATGGCCGCGCCGCCGCCCCGCGCCCCGCACCTGGGCCGCACCTTTGCCCCGCCGCGTGACGCGACCGCGGAAGAGGAAGTCGCTTCCCGCCCCGGCCCGCGGCGGCGCCCACGCCCCGCGGCTCAGGGTGCCGGGGGGCGGGGAGTCCAGGGGTCTCGAGGCCCTGGCGGTCCCGGGTCCGCAACGTGGGGAAGAAGGGGGGTCGCGCCTTTCCGCACTCCCAGACAAAGGAGCTTCAGAGGAGGCCGGAGGCCCGGGTCCCCCGCCGGCGCCGAGCGGAACGTGCGGACGGCGGGCGCAGGGCAGACGAGCCTGTGGCTACCGCCCAGCCGCCCCGAGTCCCTCGGTGTGTGGCGTCGCATGTTGGGACCCCCAAGTGGCGTCCCCATCGGGGGGTCGAGCAGGCTGCGGTTCTTTTGCTCAGGGACCCGAATCCCGGTGTGTTTGTTGGGGGCCCAGCCCCGGTTTCACCCCGGGACGGCACACACCTGAGAGGCCCCCGGAGTCTGTGCCCGGGGGACTCAGCACCCCCGGGAGGCCTGGGACACGGGGGCCTGAGGCACAGGTCTCGGGGTCCGGGGTGACTGCAGCCCGCAGGTGAGCTGCGCCGGCCGCCTGGCCCTGACTCGCTGTCCTCCCTCCCAGGCACGGGGTCTGGAGCTCACTTTGCGGGGCTCAGGGCGCGGGACTCCGCGTGGAGACCCCGGCCCCGCCCCCCAGCCTGCGGGGTCCAGCCGAACGGCTGCGACCTTGGCCGGGTCGTCGCCTCACTGCGCGGCCCCACTGCCCCTCCGTGGCCGGCGCCCTCAGCCTGAAAATTCCACGGCGCCCACGGAAACCGTGGTGCCGGGAGCCCCTCGGGGTGTCACCGAAGCGCCCGCGCCAGCAGGTGCGGCCAGGCGGGTGCCGGGATGACAGGGAGTCTCCCCGCGGGGCGTGCGCGCCCCGGACCCGCCTGTGCCCAAACCCACGCCAGTCCTGACCCCTGCCCTTAACTGGCCTCGAAAACAGAGAAGGGGATCCCCCCGGCCTCCCCAGAATGGGGAGCCGACCTTCGAGGAAGTCAGGATTCCGGTCTCTACCTCAGTTTCCCTATAATGTCTACAGGTGACCAGCGTGAAACAAAGGCCCCGCTGCGCACCGCCTCCTCAGCAGATAAGGGGGCGGGGTGGCCCCAACCCGGAGCGTGCGCCCGGGGACAATCGGGCCTGTGATTTGAGGGGCAGGATGTGTCGGCTCGGGTAGAAAGGTGCATCGGTCTCCAAACCCACCGAGACCCGGGGCAGGGCGCCCCGTGGGGGGACCTGCGGGGTAGGGGCTGCGCTCGGGGACGGGAGGCTCCTTCCTACGGTGACCGGGGCGAGGTGAGGGCTCCCCCGCGCCCAAAAACGCCGAGCGCCGGGACCCCCGCCGTGCCCCGCCCCCAGCCCGGCCCGGGCCTGGAGCCCGAGCGGAAAGCCCGCAGGGGACGTCCCAGGGAGCCAAGCCCCGCAGCGTGGCCCGGATCGCGGGGACCCACCCCAGCTCCCGCACGGCCCCGCCCCGGGTCAGGCAGTTTCGGGGCGCAGCCCGGCCCTCCCCACAGCACGGCAGTCCCGGGGCGCGGCCGGGCCCGTCAGCCCTTCGGCCTTCCCAGCGACCCCGGGAGGGCGCCCCCACCCAGCCCCGCCCGCCAGCCAGCCAGCCCGCGCAGGGTCGCGAGCGCGCGGGGGTGGTGCGGGCGGGGCCGTTGGGAGGCGGCGCGGGCTGGGGGCGGGGCGGCCCGGGGCCCCACGTGACCCGGCCGGGCGGGCCAATCAGAGCCCGGCTTTCGGAAAGATCGCCATATATGGACATGTTCTGGGGCCGCGCGCGCCGCCGGGCCGCGCGGGCGCGCCGCTTCCTCTTAAAAAGCGGCGGGGGAGGCCGCGGTCGGTCTCAGTCGCCGCTGCCAGCCCGCGCGCAGTGTTCTCTCGCCGCTCCGCCGCCCTGCTCCTCCGCCGGTAAGCGCCCCTCGCGGACCCGAGGAGGACGTCTCTGGCCGTCGCTCCTCGACCCCAACGGGCCCCGCTTTCCGCCGCGGAGATCTCGCCGCGTCGTTTTCGGGAACAAAAGGCGGGCCCCGGCTGGGTGGGCCACGCGGACAGGGTCGGGCGGACGCCGTAGGTTTAGGGCGGGGCCCGGCCGCAGTGCGGTGTCCCGGGCGGTGGGCGTTACGTAAAAGGCTCGGGCGCCGGTTCCAGGCGGTTGCGGTCTTGGAGGCTTCGGCTTCCGGGGTTCGGTCTTGGTTGGCTCTCGGTGGGGGGGCTGTTTTCGAGCGGGGCTCGCCTGAGTCCGTCGCTTTGCTGGCAGGTCGCAATGGAAGAAGAAATTGCTGCGCTCGTCATCGACAATGGTTCTGGCATGTGCAAAGCTGGCTTTGCTGGGGACGACGCCCCCCGAGCCGTGTTTCCCTCCATTGTCGGGCGCCCTCGGCACCAGGTGAGTGGAGGGCGCCACGGGGTTCCTGGGTTCGGCGCTGCGGGGTGGGCTCGGGGGCCGCGGTGAGCCTGATGGCCACTCCCTGCAGGGCGTGATGGTCGGCATGGGCCAGAAGGACTCCTACGTGGGCGACGAGGCCCAGAGCAAGCGCGGTATCCTGACCCTGAAGTACCCCATCGAGCACGGCATTGTCACCAATTGGGACGACATGGAGAAAATCTGGCACCACACTTTCTACAACGAGCTGCGTGTGGCCCCGGAGGAGCACCCTGTGCTGCTGACCGAGGCCCCCCTGAACCCCAAGGCTAACAGAGAGAAGATGACTCAGGTGAGGCTCGGCAATGCCGCTGCTGTCGTCCGTTTTCCTAGTCATTTTCTGCCCAGCTTGATTTCTGACATTCAAGTGTTTCTTTCGCTGTTCCAGGCTCTGTTCCTCTCCCGGCATTTCCTCCCTGAAGCCTCCAGGTTTCTCATTTGGTTTCTGCCTGCGTTCTTTTCTTTTCTCCACACATCACACTGGCATGCAGCATGTTGTGGCGTGTGAGCATGGGGTGGTCGCGGGTCCTTGCCCCTGACTAAGCTGTCTGTCTGTCCCTCCCTTCAGATCATGTTTGAGACCTTCAACACCCCGGCCATGTACGTGGCTATCCAGGCCGTGCTGTCCCTCTACGCCTCTGGGCGCACCACTGGCATTGTCATGGACTCTGGAGACGGGGTCACCCACACGGTGCCCATTTACGAGGGCTATGCCCTTCCCCACGCTATCCTGCGTCTGGACCTGGCTGGCCGGGACCTGACCGACTACCTCATGAAGATCCTCACCGAGCGCGGGTACAGCTTCACCACCACGGCCGAGCGGGAGATCGTCCGCGACATCAAGGAGAAGCTGTGCTATGTTGCCCTGGACTTCGAGCAGGAGATGGCCACAGCCGCATCCTCCTCCTCTCTGGAGAAGAGCTACGAGCTGCCCGACGGCCAGGTCATCACCATTGGTAACGAGCGGTTTCGGTGTCCCGAGGCGCTGTTCCAGCCTTCCTTTCTCGGTAGGTGTTGAGTCTAAGGGTTTCTGGTCTTTGGTTCTGGGCGACACAGCACCACTAAGGGAGGGCTTTGTCCCCTAGGCATGGAATCTTGCGGCATTCACGAGACCACCTTCAACTCCATCATGAAGTGTGACGTGGACATCCGTAAAGACCTGTACGCCAACACTGTGCTGTCTGGTGGCACCACCATGTACCCAGGCATCGCCGACAGGATGCAGAAGGAGATCACTGCCCTGGCTCCCAGCACCATGAAGATCAAGGTGAGTTGA